AATAGGTTGTTTATTCCATGCCAAACATCTTTGAATCAGATATAAGGCATCTGTCATGCATGTTTGATCGTTATACGAATGGGATCGTTAGGTATGATGTCGTCACTGGCGTTAGGGATGGAGTGGTGAAATGTGTTATTAAGATATGTTTCAAGCTTTTCTTTTTAACCGGCGCAAGTTGATTGGTTAGATGCTATCGAGGATCGTGCTCTTTCTTTTCAAGCTCTCTAGTCCCAACTTTCACCCATCCCTTTTTCTTCTTTAGTAGGTGCGAAGAAGTTACGTCTAGGTCGTTAAACTGCGTCATCTTCCCATTCCACATGTCATCCTCGTGAGTTGACTACGTCACGCGATTGCGACCGATCGTCCTCTTCCCTTTCTTCTTGAGGTTTCGTGCTTAGGTGTCTTACTGATTAATGAGTTACTATCGTATTCATGAATGAAGCCGGCCCATCGCTACATCCACCAATGCTAGCGTCACCATTGCTATCCGCACTTCTTCTGATTCTCTTCACACCTCAGATATTCCCCATAAGATGCTATTTACACCATGAAATCTGGGAAGATGGGCGAAAACTCGAAATCCTGCCGGATATCTGCTCTAGTAGTAGGTACTGTATTTCTGCTATCTATCGTGACCCGAATCCAGTGAAGAAGAATGGCTACTCTCGCGGTTGCGATCAAGTTGACTGTGCTGAATCCGAAGAAGAAAACTCAGTGTGGCGAGAAACGTCAGATGGAGTACGATGTCGTCGTCATCGCGATTATGGACGGTTGGGAGAAATCTGCTGCTGTAAAACTGACCTTTGCAATCTGGGCACTATGGCTTCATTAGCATTTACGTCTCTTCTGCTTCCTTTGCTTCTGCTGTGATATATCCCTAGTAGAAGTTATAGGGCCGGTAGTTCTCGGTGGTTATGTACAGATGATTAATGCTGTCAGTATGATTGTGCGGCGTTATTATTTTAGTTTGGTAGCACGCTGAAGTCTATTTATATCCACTTCCATTCGGCACTCAGTTCTATTTGGTATGCGCATCGCTTTTGATGTATTTTTTCTTTAGTTTTGATAAAAATCTATAGATTGTTCTTTTGAAAGTAGCTATATAGGAGTATCTAAGAACATTCCTTTGGACTGAACACTCAAATTGATGAAACCCTTACCTGATTTGCTGACTCGAGGAGACATGTGGTGACTGTTGACATTTCTCAGTAAAGGAGTGTTTGGTTCTTCTTGTAAAGCCTAAACGATGATATTTCAATGTACTGTAAAATTCGCGGTGGTAACGACAGTGAGCCGCTTACTTCTGTTAGATCATCCTCCTCGCTTTTCCCTTTCTACCTAACTATAGCTACTTCTTCCCTTTCTAACATCAAAAGCATTGCCCAAAAGCGCAAAGGCGTTCTTTTTTTGAGTGCAGCAGAAACAGCTCAAGTGATTACAAGAGCAGAAACATTTTTATTTTTCAGTTCATTGCAGTGCTTCGTCTTTGCGCTGTCTATCTCGAGTGTCAGTCAACTCTCCCACTCTTATTAATTGGAAATATCTCTCAACCTAAGAACATAACTGGCAGGATGTTGTTCTTTCTAGCTCACTAAGTACTGCTCCACGAAAGCATTCATGTCCCTTTTTGAAGTAGTGGCTGAGAAGGTGTGTAATGTATACTGCGAAAAAGGGTAGCAAAGTTTTTGTAGTTTGTATCAGCGTTTGATCTCAAATTATGGACTCAAGTTGAACTAATTTGAATATTTTTTGGAAGCAAACTAAGTAAATCTTTGGAGTCATGATTTTCTATAGAAACGTAGTTATAAGATTGCAAAGAGTTCTAGAAGTTTCGAAAATTTGATAGTGGGCATGTCTAGCGCCATTCCTTCAT